CTACTACTACTACTAGTACTACTACTACTACTACTACTACTACTACGACTACTACTACTACTACTACTACTACTACTACTACTGCTGCCACTTTACCACAACTACTACTACGACTACGACTACAACTGCTACTACCACTACTACTACTACTACTACTACTACTACTACTACTCTCACTGCGACGACGGCGACGACGACTACTACCACGACTACTACTACTACTACTACTACTACTACTACTACTACTACTACTACTACTACTACTACTACTACACTATTACTACGACTACGACTACTACAACTACTACTACTACTACTACTACTACTACGACTACTACTACTACTACTACTACTACGACTCCTAATGCTACTACTACTACTACCACTACTACTACTACTACTACTACTACTGCTACCCCTGCTACTACTACTGCTACTACTACCACTACGACCACTACTACCACTACTACTCCTTCTACTACGACTACTACTGTTGATACAACAACTATTACTTTACTACGACTACTACCCCTATTACTGCTACTGCTACTACTACTGTTACTACTACCACCACCACCACCACTACTACTACTACTACTACTACTCCTACTACTACTACGACTACTAGTACTACTACTACTACTACTACTACTACTACTACTACTTCGACTACTACTACTCACACTTATAACACTACGAGTACTGCTACTTCTATAAATACTACGACTACTACTACTACTACTAATAATAATAATACTACTACTACTACTACCACTACTACGACCGCGACGACTACTACTACTACACCGGCTAGAATTAGCACTACGACTACTAATTCTGCTACTCCTACTTCTACTACGAACACTACCACTACTACTACTACTACTACTACTACTTCTACTACTACTACCAATACTACTGCTAATACTACTACTACTACTACTACAACTACTACTACTACTACTACTACTTCTACTACTACTACCGATACTACTGCTAATACTACTACTACTACTACTACTACTACTACTACTACTTCTACTACAACTACTACTGCTACTACTACTACTACTACTACTACTACTACTACTACTACTACTACTACTACTGCTACTACTACTACTAACTACTACGACTACGACTACGACTACGACTACGGCGAATACTATGACTACGACTACTACTACGACTACTACTAAGACTACTACAACTACGGCTACGACTACTACTGCGATTGCGACTAGTACTACTTCTTCTGCTGCTACTACGACTACAACTACGACTAGACTACCAATACTACGACTACTACTACTACTAGGACTACGACTACTACTACTAGTAGTAGTAGTAGTACTACTACTACTACTAGTACTACTACTACTACTACTACTACTACTACTACTACTCAAACTCCTACTGCTACTGCTACTGCTACTGCTACTGCTACTGCTACTGCTACTGCTACTACTACTACACACTACTACTACTACTACTACTACTACTACTACTACTAACTACTACTAAATAAACTGCTACTATAACTATACCACCCAGTACTACTACTATAACTGCTACTGCTACTGCAACTGCTACTGCTACTACTACTGCTACTGCTACTGCTACTGCTACTGCTACTACTACTACTACTACTACTACTACTACTACTACTACTACTACTACTACTACTACTACTACTACTACAACTACTAATACAACTACTACTACTACTACTACTACTACTACTACTACTACTACTACTACTACTACTACTACTACTACTACTACTACTACTACTTCTTCTACTGCTACTAACTATTACTAACAGTCATCATTATCATGTGCATCATCAGCGCCATCTTTAGCATCACCACAACCATGCCCATCATCATCGCCATCTTCACTGCTCCTTGACATCCTTCACATCCTCTCCTTCCTCGCACCCCTCAGCTTCCTTCTCCTCCTTTCCCTCATCCGCCTCATACGGGTTCCTCCTCCTGCATCCTCTTCCTCCTCGACCTACCCCATCCTCCTCCATGTCCTGCACTAATCTCGTCCTCATTCGACACACCCTTCCAACCGACTTCCTCATACTCCGACCCCTCGGGTTGACTCCTTATCCTCCTCCTCCTCCTCCTCCACCTCCTCCTTCCTCCGCTTCATCCACAGCATTATCCTCCTCCTCCTGCACCTCTCCCTCCTCATCATCCTCCCCATCCTCATCGTCCGCCTCCTCTTCTACTCATCGCCATCATCATGATCCACCCCTGCTTTCTCCTCCTACCTTCTACGCGCGGCCGCCGAGGGTCTGGTGTTTCGACATCCCGCATGGGAGGCGCAGGCGAGGGGTGCCGCACGTTCTGCGTGGACCTTTCTCCCCACTTCCCGCCTTCTGGAGTTGCGCACCTCCTCCGTCTCCTCCTCCTCCTCCTCCTCCTGATCCTCCTCCAACTGATCCTCCTCCTCCTCCTCTTCCTCCTCCTCCACATCGTCCCCCTTCCTAGCTTAACATTCATCCTCTCCTCCCCCTCTCTTCAATACCTCTTCCTCCTCCTCTCCTGCCTCTCCCACTCCTTCGTCCACCGAGGAGGTAAACCGCGGACGAGGGGGACGGAGAGGGTGGGAGTGAGGAGGAGAAGAGGGGTGGGCGGGAGGAGGACGACGACCCAAGGCCTTCAGCATCACGAATGGCCCGCCGGTGCCTTCTCCCTGGTACATCCGGGCGTAGTACACGGCGCCCTCGCAGAAGCCCTCCTCCGGGAGGCACCATGCGCCGCTGCCCTGTCTCGCGCCTCCGTCCCGTGGTCATCGTCCTCCTCCTCCTCCTCGTCCTCCTCCTCCTGCTCCTTATCCTCCCCGTGCTGGGCCCCGGGACCAACCTCTGGAGGCCAGTCTCGTCGGAGTAGAGGCCCATCCGGAAGCCAAGCAGAAGCCAGAGGCAACCCAACAAAAATACGTTCCTGAGTCCAAAGTCCTCCTCCTCCTCCTCCGCCTTCTTCTCCGCCTCCCCTTCCTCTGCCTCGTCCTCAGCCCCCTTCTCCTCTTCACGAGAGCCCTGCCTGGCCGTCCCAAATCTCTGCTCGAAAGCTTGCAGCGGCGTTGTCAAGGCCTGCCGTGGTCCAGGACTGCTGCTAGATGGGACGAGGCTTAATATCTCTTCCCCTCCAGTCCGACCAGCGACACGGCACATGAAATGCAAGCCTCGGCTGCAGAGGTGCACTGCAAAAACTCCTCATTCCTCCTCGCCTGAGTATCCTCCTTCT